TCTTTTTTGTAAAAATCTGGGCACCTTGGGAAATTTTTTTGGGGAAAAAGTTTCCCCCCCCCCCCCCCCCCCCCCCCCCGGGCAAAAAATTGCCCGTACGCCTATGAATATAATTAGCTTACCTGATGCCCTTAATTTCTACATATCGCCTGATACCAAAGTCCTTTCTCATTTTGTTCCTTTATTAGTTAGTTGCCGTCCTAAGCATTTGGTTAATTCATGTGTTCTGTGCAGTCTAGTGGCACAAATGGTACAACTTGTGTCAAGCAGCAGTTTATCTTTGGTATTAATCAACCATTCGCCTCGATCAGGTGGCGCTGCCTCGATCGAGTGCTGGCGCGCCATTTTTAGTACTTCATGTTACCCCCACATAGTGCCCATGATGAACCGATGACTGGTCAAACGGTTTGTTTTGCACTTATATATTTTTCATTTATATCTAATCATCAACAAAAATACAGAAAAGGGCATGTATTTAGTAATCCAAGAACGTTTCTCATCAAACATCTGATATGTTACAATTTTTTGCGAATATCCCGTATCCCTGAAACTACTTCTCAATATCCTGTATCCCAATAACTTTTTCCTCAAATATTCCGTATCCCGGTAATTTTTTCCGCGAATATCCCGTATCCCGAAAACCCCTAATGGGGCCTCTGTAATGTTCTCATCTTTTTAGATATTTGCCTGTGCTTTACAGGTTATGAAGGAATATTTATTGTAGAAGGCATTCATTAAATAGTTGCCATCCATTAAGTGGTATCTTTACTACTCTTGCTATCTTTGCTATAATTTGGCTATTTCTTCTTCACATCACTCGTGCAATCTCCCGCCATTTTCTCTAATTCTGCCAAAACAGGGAGCTGCCACTCCTACTGTTGCTCCCTGTTCTAGTGATACCTATACAGTTGACGTCAACTGTATACCTTCTATATTTGGTAAACAGTTGCTAGTTATGAAGAATTAGCCGGGGATTTTGAGCCAATCAGAAACGGAGAAACATTTTGAATGAATAATAACAAGAATTATAATCCACACATTTTCCTAAAGGCAAACCCATGGTGCAAAAATGTCTTGATATAAGTGTTTACTTAGACAAATATACAGAGACAGCTAGACACAAACAGTGACATGTACAAAAACAATTGGATGGTCTCATTTTTTAACGCTTCTGTTATTCATGTCTCTCAAATGAAATCACTTCCTGGATAAGGGTCATTAGTATTCTGTGCGGAATGAAAGGTCGTCAGATTTCATTATAATAATATAAACTAGTCAACAAGCCAACAGCATTATTTAGTGAGGAATCTCTTTTTTCAAAATTCAACGAGTAAAGAAAAGCTGAGTTAAAATGTGATCGTCCCCAGAAGAGAAATCTTAATCTTTAGAAGTTACGGATCGGTTTGCACCGACCACAAGGATACACAACTCATAGTAACTTTTTGGTGAAAGCATTGAGGTTCTCAGCTCGCTTAACATGTTTGAAGCGTGTTTTAAGCCATCCATAAGCTTCCCCTTGTCCTGAAATGAGATATCTCAGTCACAAAACAATGAAAAATAGGACGAAGAAGTGAGTACAAGTAAAACTCACCAGACATCGTTTCATCTGAAAAGACTGCGACTTTACAACTTGAATGGCCTCATCCAGAAGTTTTTCCTGGTCTTCCTGCGAAGCTGATTGCGTCACAGGCTTTGAAAACAATTATATATTAGGTTAGTATCACAATTTTAAACTGTACTTACCTGCCTCAACCACTAAAAAGAAGAAATTCTCACCATTTTCGCGAACTTGAAGCTCCTTGAAACATGCACAGAAGGAGCACGTGACCATTTTTGACTGGGACGCCTCCTCGTGCCCAGACCTAGAACGAGTGGCACCGAAGATCTAGCGAATATTTTCGCAAATTACGAAGACGCAATCGCCGAACGTTTTTCTGACAAAGGTCAAGAAAGCACGCAAAAACTCGCGTTTACGCCGCTGCTGATGAGAGGATTTGTTACGGGGATTCAGAGATCTCAAACTGGAGTAACTGCAGATAACATAACTCTTTACCGCTGAACATATTTTCCAAAGATCTGACTGAGGTTTGTGTGAATATTCACCGGGCAACTCCGAGTTTCAAAATGGCGTCGTGTTGTCATAGTCCTTTTACAAAGGCCGTTTTCCTGAGCATATTGGGAGCACTTGCAGACACCTTTTTGTCTGTTTTGTTTCTAATACATGGGACGAACTTTTCCAGATTCAGTGAAAATTTGCAAGTGCAAAAATTCAAATTTTGTTCGTCTGTTTTTGATCTGTGGGTACTGTCCATTCTTCGTTTATGTAGTTTGTTTGGTGCGGTCTTTGGGCTTCTGTGCGCTAAACGCAAAAAAGATGCAATTGCAAGGATTATTCTCCTAAAGAAACCTTTACTGTATTATAGTATTGCCTGCACTGTCTACATTGTAGTAAAATTTCTGCTTAGTACAGAATGTAGTATGGACAAGACTGCCAAAATCTGGTTTGGGTGTTATATGGGATGGACGTTTCTTGGTACCCTCATGACATATGGCCTATGGTACCTACTTTCTCGCATTAAAGTTGTCAGTCTATCAACAGAGCAAGAAATTGGCTCAATACAAGAACGGCAAACACTCCTTGGCATCAATGATTCTGAAAATTCAAGTGACAGCAACTCTGACAATGAAGACATACCAAGTGTTAAAAAAGAAAGTAATATTTCAGCTTGGCGACTTATGTCCTATTGTAAACCAGACATCCCTCATATTTCCTTGGCATCTTTATTTCTTCTCCTGGCAGCAGTTGGTGAAATATTCATTCCATATTATACTGGACAGGTTATAGATGGTATTGCAATAGAAAAGGACAAGGCAAAATTTGCAAGAGCAATTCTTATCATGGCTTTGATTTCACTGGGTACAGCAATCGCTGCTGGCTTTCGAGGAGGTTTGTTTAACTTAATTGAGGCAAGATTTAACAGGAGAATCAACAACTACTTGTTTGGATCCATTGTAAAACAAGAAATAGGATTCTTTGATGGCACAAAAACCGGAGAGATTGTCTCACGTCTAACCTCAGATACAACAAAAATGTCTGACCAAGTAGGACTCAACATTAATGTCTTACTACGAAACTGTGTTCAGTCTACCGGAACATGCATTTTCATGTTCAAGCTTTCATGGAAGCTGTCTGTTGTTGGCCTCATTGGACTTCCTCTTGTAGCATTTATCTCAGATATTTATGGAGAATATTACAAGAAGCTCTCAACGCAGGTACAAGAAGCAACAGCCAAAGCAAATGAGATAGCAGCAGAAGTAGTGTCTTCTATGAAAACAGTCCGCAGCTTTGCAAACGAGGATGAAGAAATTGGCCAATATAAACGAAGACAGAATGACATATACAAACTAAAAGTCAAGGAGTCACTTCTTTATGGCGGCTATAGGTGGTGTACTGAGATCCTTGCTCTTGCTCTTGATGTTGTGGTCTTACTTTATGGAGGTCATTTGGTCCTTAAAGGAGAACTAAGTGGTGGATACTTAGTGTCTTTCATACTATATCAATTGCAGCTGTCATTTTACATTGAAGAGGTTGGAGATATTTATACAGGCCTCATGGAGGCTGTGGGTGCATCCAAGAAAGTATTTGAGCTCATTGACCGTGACCCGAAGATCCAAAACAATGGTGGTGTTACAAGCAATGAGGTTACAGGAGAAGTAAAGTTTGAAAATGTTTCATTTGCCTACCCTACAAGACCAGACATTCCAGTGTTAAGTAATGTTTCCTTTAGTGCAGAAAAAGGTGAAGTTGTCGCACTTGTTGGACCAAGCGGCGGAGGAAAAAGCTCATGTATAAATCTTCTTCAGCATTTTTATGAGCCAACGGCTGGTCAAGTTCTGATTGATTCCATTCCAGTTAAAGATTATGAACACAAGTTTCTGCACACCAAAGTTGCACTTGTTAGTCAAGAACCAGTTCTTTTTGCAAGATCAGTCAAGGACAACATTGCATATGGCATTACTTCAAACAGTGAGATTGATCAAAGTTTAGTGGAGCATGTATCCCAGCTTGCAAATGCTCACTCCTTTATCAGTGAAATGCCAGAAGGTTATGACACTGAAACTGGTGAAAAAGGCCTGCAACTTTCAGGTGGACAAAAGCAAAGGATTGCCATTGCAAGAGCACTTTTGCGAAATCCACAAATTCTTCTTCTTGATGAAGCAACTAGTGCCCTTGATGCCGAAAGTGAGCATCTAGTACAGGATGCCATTTACAAGAATTTAACTGGTCACACAGTATTAATTGTTGCCCATCGGTTAAGCACTATTGAGAAAGCTGACAAAATTGTAGTCATTGACCATGGTAGAGTTATTGCACAAGGCAAACACAAAGAGCTTGTAGAACAGAATGGATTATATGCAAAACTAGTGAGACGCCAAATGTTAGGCCTTGAAAAACGTTCTTCTCATGATGTTGCTCAAACTTCTAATAGATACTTGAGTCGGTCTAATTCAGAAAGTAGTGATAGTGGAAGTTCTAACTGTAGTTTGGCTCTGTCAAAAAAATAAGTGCGTGACAAGGGAGACCAACATCTAGTTGTTCAAAGGCCAATATTTATGATAATGGTTGTTTGTGTTTGAAATTTGAAATTTCAACCAACTCGTTAGTTTTTACCTTTCAAAATATTGCAAATAATTTATTTATTTTAAAGTAATAGCCAATGGAAGATAAAAAATTTAATATCGCGTTGTATGGTCAAAAACTTGTTGTATTGCAAAACGGAAAAAAATTCAAAGAAAAATTATTCACCTATTATTTAAAGCATGTTACGATTATTTATTGACATGAGTTTTTTTTTCTTCCTTCTTTTTTTACAAACCACTTTCGAGTTTGTCATTCCTGAGAGACCAGTCAAAATGTCTGACCAACCAAAGGTTTGTCCAGACGATGATGGTCATCTTGGCTTATTTGTTTATCATTATTACTTGATCTTTTTTATTTTTCAAGTGAGTCTACTGATAAAACATTACAAGCCCTATATGCAAGTGTAATGTGCCACCTGACTGTGACAGTGATATGGTAGTCACACCCCCCCCGCCCCCGACACTCCAGATTAGTGAAATGTTTCAAATTGTAGTCCCATACATAAGTTACCATGACAAGTAATATGCTGATTGAATATTTCCTAAAAGGTTACCCTTATGGTATCTTAGGACATAAATATTTCTTTCATCTGTTTTTAAGATTATGAATGAAATTCAGTTTTTAATTCAAGGAAAATTTCATTACATTATTTATCTTGGAAAATGGTTGCTTGGAGAGAATAAGAGTACACTTGGCCTTTCCTTAGCCATTGTCTCATATTGACCATCTGCCCAGCTGGGTCAGTCAATCCATCAGTAGAGAGCATGCCTATGAAGACAGCACTAACTTGCAACAAAGCTTCTTCATCTTTTGGGGGTGAAAACTATATATCATTGAGAAAATTTACATTCAGACAATAATTTCGGGAATGATATCTAAGCAACAGATACAATCATGGGCAAAAGTTTTGGGACAAATTTACAGGTATGTCACGTTATTGTCAAAATAATACCAAAATGTTGCAATTTCCACCTCTTTTTATAGTTCAATTTGTGAAATCCGGCTACCCTGTTATATTAAAACCTCCAACCTAACAAAAGCAACCCATAAAGTACGTTGTAGAACCCCCTCTGTAATCCCCTAAGATGAAGGGTAGTCGAGTGTGGTATGTAGAAATCTACTTCATAAACCTCTCAACCAAAAAACAGCACCTCAGTCATTGCTTAAAATTAGTTTCTGCGAAATGTCTGTTTGGATTGTTTCAGTACTGTTACAAGGCTTACAAATTGGTTAACACTATAATGAAGGCAAATGAAAAATGATCCTCGCAGTTGTGAACGCCGCGGATTTGTGTAACTACCGTATTTATTCGTTTAACCGCCCTGGGCGCTTATTAAATTTTTGGACCTTGAGACTGGGCGCTTATTCGAGGTGGGCGCTTATACGAGGCTGGGCGCTTATTAAATTTTCACCATTTTCAGCACGTGAAGTATGTTTATTTTGCAACAAAATAATAAATGCTAATAACAAAACTTGAAGAAGCAACAAAGCAATGTTTCTCTAAAATACTCTGAGGAAAACTCCGTCCTCGGGGAAGTCTCTTATTAGAATTTATTCACTCAAGTGGGTGGGGTGGGGTTGAGAGCTTATTTGAGTTTGATTGGGAGGAGGAGGGGTGGGCGCTTATTCGAGGCTGGGCGCTTATTAACTTTGCCTGCCTTTAAGATGGGCGATTATTCGAGGCGGGCGTTAATTCGAGGTTGGGCGCTTATTCGAATAAATACGGTACGTAAGAAGCCTGAAAAAAATTCAGGACTTCAACGGAATTTGAACCCTTGACCTCGCAATACCGATGCGACGCTCAAGCTCTAACCAACTAAGCTATGAAGCCACTGATGTTTTTAGTGGTCAAGTATGTGTTCATATGTTCCCTTATTCATCTCTTTCACGGGAACATATGAACACATACTTTACCAGCTCCCAACATCAGTGGCTTCATAGCATCGCACCGGTATCGCGAGGTCACGGGTTCAAATCCCGTTGAAGTCCTGATTTTTTTCAGGCTTCTTACGCAATTGCATAAATTGCGTTCACAACTGCGAAGATCATTCTTCATTTGATTTGATTTCCGCAGTTCTCATCTTTGTGCCCCGCACACATACAAATCGTTTTAAGAACACTTTTATTCCAAGTATGTGTACATAATTTTTTGGACCAGTTTGTACCTAGTTATATATAGAGTTTTTCGCATTTTTATAGAAATGTTTTTTGTTATAATTTCAATTAGTATTTATATTTTTGGAATTTATTTAATCTTAGTTTTAAGTAATTGTAACGCAGTTCAGTCTACGGACTGCCATGTTCGATATTTTTAATAAACTATCTATCTATCTATTCATTTCATATACATGTCACTATGATGAAGAGTTGTTTTGTGAACTTAATGTAACTGGGCGAATTCTCAAAAGGTCATGCCTAGCCTAAATAAGATACGCCCAATAAAATGGCACGCTTAAGCCTAGTGGAACCGTCTCTGTATTGGCTTTCATATACCAATACTTCCCTATAAAGATCTCTAAAATGACAAGGATGATCATTCAGAAACACCCTGCTTTGTGGGCGTGGTTCAAATTCCTGTTGGGCCCTGGAGAGGTTGGGCCCTTAGGACGGTACCAAAAAATGAACTGAGTAGAAAATATAGGTACCTGTCATTTTTCGGCTTAATATCGTTTGAATGCCCATGAAAAACATAGCGACAACTTAAGTGGCAGTTATTATAGATTTTGGCAACGTAAGTTGTAAGCATCAACAAATTATCTATCCTTCCGCCACACCCCTCTAAAAAAGCAAGAAAATGAGCACCCCTGAGTACAGTCAGTACAAACTAGAAGTTGGTAGAAGCTGAGCGAAAAGGAAGCGAGGGAGGGGTGGCCAGAATGCACATCTCAGACATGTACTGCAAAGAAAGCTGAAAGAAACCGCGAGGAGTGTGACTCCTATGTGAAGGGTCATGAAGGGTGAGACCAATCTGGGCGTGGCTCAAGCTTTAGATACCGCCATAGAAACAGATAGCTAAATAACAGCTATAGTTATTTTCATTGTGGTATGAGACGCGTTCATTGGGCTGATTTCTCTTCTTTCCCATTTTCTTCTTCTGCCTTAATCTTTATTACAGTCGAACCTCTCCACAACGGCTCCCTTGGGAACGGAAGAAAGTGGCTCACCAGGTGCTTAAGAAATCTAAAATTAATTCAACCACAAAATTTCTACACATTCAGGAGGCTGTTAACTTGACTGTTGACAGGAACCTAACACCCAGGCTCCCGCTGTTGCCCATTTTTTTCATACTGTTTTTCCGCGGAGCAAAGGGAAATGTCCTCTGATAAAGTCCTTATAGAAAAAAGTAACTTTTAAGGAATTCTAAGGGACAAAGCAAATTTATCTTCTTTCCTTTTTATTTTATTTTACTCTCTTGTTTTCCTTCATTTCAGTTGCCTTCGTTCCCTTAGTCGTCGCGAAAGACTGAGTCCAAGTTTTAAGTATCACGTGACAAACTTGCCCGCTCAGTTTCAAATCGATCTCGTTTGTGAACGGTTCGACCTTGAAAAGTACGAAACGATTTTTTTAAAGAATAGAAAAACTGTATTTTGCACAACAAAGCGACCTTTATGATTTAAGATTTTTGGACAAGGATGGATCCTTTCACCCAGGTAAACTTCATGTTCTTATTCAGCTGCGCTATTGAAAAAATATGTTAAAGTTCGACTGTCGTTTATGGTTCAAAATTTATGATAATTTAAGGTTAATTGCTGCTTCTGTTTCTTCTTGTTTGTCATTAAATGATTTAAATACACTCTACTTTCATCGTTAACTAAGAATCTAGTCGAATTATAATTTTCTTTCCCTAGAAATCGATAACAGATGCTAAATGAAATGATCATGAAGAACAAGGAATTTAACCCGCCACAACTGAACTTCACTTACTTGATTGGTTACTAAACAAATTCAAAAATGTTTGAGAATACAATTCTCGATTACTCTGTCGTGGGTTCAAGTTTTCATTTTCTTCAAGGAAAATCAAGCTTTCTTCTTGCAGCTAACCTCTCTATATATTAGCACGCATGATCGTGAAAGCACGATGGCGCATTCCTTTCGTGCTAACGAAAAATATAAATGCTGCAAAATTCCGGTTTATATTTCTCAGTAAAGCTTATTGTATTTTCTGGATTCGATTAGCAATTGATGGTTTTGTAACTGAAACTGATTATTGTTTCTTATTCTTTCAACAAAAAAAAAACCTGAACAAGCCCGATAAGCTCATCAGATTTTAATACATTTTTGAAAGATTATATTAAAAATACTTCTGTTTCTGTAACGTCTGTGAAAGCCTTACTCTATCACAGTTGGAAACGGTTCAAAACAGTTGGGAAGAATAATAATCTGGGATTAGCTCAATCCATCTTAGCATGTCGATTAGTTATTTTGCAACCGTCAGCTTAGTTAGTGGACTTTTTCTATGACTGATTCATTATGAGTAATGGGCAGTAGCATTTCTTTCCCAATCATTCCTTGACACTCTAAATTCGAGATTGCTCCCAATCTCTCAATTTAAGAAAACGTTTTCTTATTTTACGCGAAAAATTTAAAACAAATCATAGGATAAGAACTCTTTTTTCTGTAATTTAAACAGGCAGTTTGAATTTCCGAGAACAAAATCTTATTCTATTATTTGTTACAATTTTTTTCTTAAAATAAGGGATCTCGAATTTAAAGTACATGGGTTGTGCTCAAAGAGAAGAAAACTTAGATTCAAGCATTTTTTGAGAGTGTTGGTTGAGTGGTCGTAAAAATGAATGTTAAAAGGAGCTCATGAAAAATTAGGCAGAGTTTGAAAAATAAAATGAGTTTGGATGTGGTTGATTCAGGGTGTGTTTCTTTTGGGATGATCAGGATTAGCATTTGTGTTGTGACCCAAGATTGATCATTGGGATGATGGTCCATCAAAGGAACCACTAAGTCCTAACTGGACAGGGATTCATCGGCACCATGGATCTTCTCAAAGGAACAAAAAATTAGTATACATTTGTATACTTATGGTGGATAAATTTTCCAGGTTCTTGTCCTATAGTTCCTGATTTTGAATTTTCTCTTAAATTTTTACAGAAGTTATTGGCGAGAACCCAAGCAAGAAAGGACCAACTTGTAAAGAAACGTGAGGAGCTAGAGGCATGCAGAGCCAAAAGAAATTCACCAATCAAAGATCGCACTCGTCGTCCCCTGTCAGAAGACAACACAGACAGTGGAACTGCTGAGATCAATACTGACGAAATTAAGAGACGTCGAATTGGAAGCGATGAGAGTGGAAAGAGTTCTGCTCTAAGGAATCCCCGGGATATTGATGTTAACAGTCCTTCTGTTCAGGTAAGCCTTACAAACATCAAAATCATGCCAAAAGAAATTTACAGCTGTTGATGTTTCCTTTTTGCAACTTTGGTTCTTGATGATGGTTTTTTTTTTTAGGCTCGTAAAGAAAGGCTTATGAAGATGCAACAGAAAGATCAAGAAAATGGAGTCACACCTAAAAAACACTGGAAACCAGCATTAACTCAAGGAGCTAAAGATGCCAACAGTCCAAGTGTTGCATCAAGATCAGCTGCCTTTGAAAATAACATGAGAGATGAGCAACAGGTAAGCAAACAGTGATCACCACGATCATGTACTCTAACATGGCATACAAGGGTAATATTCAAGTCTTAACATAGCAGCTAGTCCCTAGCAGGGCCAGGGATTTTGCCTTGATAATAGGGTATATTAAGTTATGTAAACAGTTGACAACACAAAAAAAACACAAGCTTAGCCTTTTCCAAGCTCCAGAACTCTTCTCATCAATTTAAATGGCAGACCATGACATACAATTTTTTTTCCCAGGAGAATGCCAAGGACAAACGACTAGCAGAGCTCCAATCATCCCAGACTCCTGGAAAACTGGCTCAAACACGTAGCGTGTTTGAGAATACACCAGAACAAGGCAAACCCAGCATCACAGCAGATAAATTTTGTCCCCCACCAAAACCTCCCAGGGTAGCTGCCATAGCTGAAGCTAATATTGAGCATTGCCAGGCTGTAGATCAACAACAATCAACTAAGAGAAAAGCTCCATCTCCCCCTAAGGAAAAAGAAGCCAGCAACGGAGAGATAATAAATGACGTCAAAGCCGTGGATGGCAAGACGGCATCTGTGGTGAAAAGAAGAGCTCCAGAACCTCCTACCTCCCCTAAAAACAAGGATAAGATTAAAAAAGAAGCCAATAAATCTTGCGATGATACAGAGTACAGGCAGGTGGAGGCCAAAGTGAAAACAACTCAATCACAAAGTATGTCTGCTGACAAGGAAAATGAAAAAAGCACAGCTGAGCCAGTTCCAGCAAAGAGGGAGAGGAAGGGTAGCATTGATAGTTTAGACAATGCCACAAAAAGTAATGTTGATCAACCTACTCCCACACCACGCAGAAAAGCTCAAACCTCAGCTGATGGCATTACAGAGGCAGAAAACCACAATGGACCTGTAAAGAAGCCAAAGAGAGCAGAATCTGATGCTACAGTTACAATAGTAGCAACTCCCATTGTTGGTGACAAGAAAAGGTCAAAGCGAGTTAAGTCAAAGCAGAGGCCAGAAGAAGAGTCATGCATCATTCAAGCATGTGTGATTGAGGAGAACCCCACAGAGGTTGCTGCTGTAAGCTATGAAAACACTGTCACAGTCAAAGCAATTTCTTCTGATGGAACTGAGAGGAAAGGTGTTAAAACACACAGATCAGATAGAACAAAAGTACAGGTAAGTGTGGTGGATCCCGCTGAGAAACAACCTAAGAGGGCAAATGAGAAGTTTTCTGATGGTATCATCTCAGCTGTTGCTCAGAAGCCTCAAAGCTCAAGGAAAACGAGACAATCGACTAAGAAGAATGACTTTGAATTCAAGGTTCCCAAGCAGCCAGTAGGTCCTGCCAGAGACAACTGCCATTTTGATTTAAATGAAACTGTCAACCTCAACGATGTTAACATCCATGAAATAACATTCAACTTTGACTTTGGCCAGTTTGACCAAGAGCTTGAGCAAGACAGAGGAAGCATGTTTGTGAGCTACGAAGAAAAGTGTAAACAGGTGTGGCTTTTTCTCTTCCTTCCATTCACGAGCCTGAGTGCATTAATTTTAACCCTAATCTCTTACAAAAAGGAAAAATAATGATAAAGCCAAATCATTGCATTATTATGCCAGTAAAATATGCCCTAGTATACAGTATATTTAACTCAATCCAGCCAAATTTTGGCTGGGAGCTTGCATTGTTTGCACTCTACTTTAGGTACCTGAGTGTCAGAATTTCTGCCATTAACTGAGTGAAATGAAACAGCCTTTTGGCAGGTTATTTAATAAGTAAAGTTTGAGGCATTACAACAAGTTACTTATCTCTGACAAAGACACTCTCTTCACATGTTTTTATTAGTTGGAAAAGGAACGAAAAAGAGAAGAAAAGAAGAGAAAGGATAGTGCGTCAGCCAGCCTTAATCCTAAATCATCATCAGGCTCATCAGAGTGCGACAGAGAAGAAAGAGGTTCTTACAAGTCAGGGTACAACAGTTCAACGAGTGATCAATATGCAACTAAAACAGTGCTAAAACCCAAGTCAGCAGTGCCACAGAGACCAAAAAGAACTCAAGACACAATAAAAGTAAGCTAAGTCTTTAACTGGATTTGCTCTCTTTTTTGAGAAAGGGGGAGGCTTGAAAACAATACAGTGGAATCCTGATTTCTTCTATCCCAACTTGGAAAAGGCAATTTGGTTCCAGTTGCTGGGAGGTTTGTAAAATTCATGGTAAAATAATGCATGAGTGTTTGAGTTTTGAAGGGAAGTTAGATTTAGTTTGAATTACGGTGGAAGCTCTTATAAGCGGACACCCTCGGGGCACGAAAAAAACGTCCAAAACTGGAGCTGGCCGCTTATGAGAATTTAAAAATACAGAGTTTGTATGAGAGTGGGGATAAACAGGTTTTGTGAAGATGGGCATATTTAAGTAGAACTGTCCACTTACAAGAGTGTCCATTAGGGGTGCTACCACTGTATCAGGAATTTCTCTACCAACTGAGATGCAAATAAGTGGTGGAAGTTAAAAGTTTAGCCACCACAATACAGTGAACATGTCGTATGTTAGTGTCGGGCACACGCACCAAGCTCATGCAATCTTTATTAATTGGCCATTCTTCCACTTTTGATATTGTAATGCGTGCATCTCAATCTGTTTGCCATGACTATTGGCAATCAACTCCTGGAAATAAACTGCCATCCAAATAATGCAGTTACAGTGTATTCATCTTAAGCCTTGATGTAGGCTCCGTGGTTTGTTCAAGTTACAATAAGTTTGCCAAATTCCTGTGAGTCTGTGTCTTTACTTCCAAATGCCATTTTAACGAACAGCGCTTATGGTTGTACTCTTTTCCTGGACTTTTCCCCACAAACAGATGCTGCTTGAAGAAGCTGCATATCAACAGAACATTGTACTCCAGGCAAGTCAAGCTCTAAATCTCTGTGTTGCAAATGATATCACCTTTAGAGGCTCCACAGAGGAAATTGAAGCCGAAAGAGTTCTCTTACTTGCAAGTAAGTACAGTTACACCATAGACTAATGCCGACAACTGTGTTTCTTTGAAGTTCTTGACAAGGTTTCGCATAGAATGTCATAGGTATCATGAACCTGATTACATTTTGCTTTTGCTGATTAGGTGAACACAGAACAGCATGTCTAGATGAAGTCCAAAGACTGAAAAATGGATGCACTGACAGCATTCCAGAATTCGCTGGGGGAAGTGAAGCATCTGGGGTATCATCTTGTACTGCAAATCTCTCTTTGTCAGGTATGCTTCTTCTGTCTCTCCAGCTGACTGATTTATTGGCATCTACACCTGTATAAAAAAAACCCAGTGAAATCATTTGATATTCCACTAGTTAGGGTACCATAAAGGGTGCATGCATGATCCTGAAGAAAGACAATTACCCTTGGAAGAAACATGATTGTCCCCATAACCGTTTTGGAAAAAGTCAGTGATCATAGTACATAGGTGCCTTTATAATACATTAATTATTTTATGGTTAACATCAGGGATAACAGTCCTTCCTGTAATTCTTGAAGCTTCACTTTTTAATTTTTCAAGTGGTTGAGCTTTTTCCTGTTAAACCCTTGTTGATATTATCGCTGTTTGTTCAAGGTTTTATTCTGTTATTCCATTCCCTTTTGAATGCTAACCTTAGGTATCAAGATCATACTAAGGCAAGACTTCATGGATGTGTTAAGAGTGGGTATCAGAAGTGGTAAGAAACAATTTTTTAATCTTTTATTTTTAGTTGGAATAAAAAATGTACAAGATGTTACCTGGTTAAATTTCATTTCAGGTTTAAGTTTTTTTAATCCACAACTGTAGGAATGATTCTCAATTCTCTGTCTCCTGGGGCTAGGACAGGGGACAAAGTATGTTGAGAATCAACCTTTGTAAGTTTAATCAAAATTAACTAGAAATCAAATTCTTTGATCTGTAACACAGAAAATAAAATGGATATAACATTATAGACTCCTATCAGTCCAAGGCACATATTATGGCGAACCTGCAAGCAAATTAAGGCAAAAGCTGTCATGGCTCTTTCACACTTAAACAGAAGTTCACCAAGCTGTGAAAGAAAACTGATTTACTTTGGAACCCTATTGTGTATTGAGTCATTTTTTGTGACAATTGAATGTTCTTCGCTTATTTTCAGATCTTGGTGTGTTTTACTTTCTCTGTATTATCCAACATGGCCCACATGAGTTCTACTGTACCAAAGTCCTTTCAACAAATGATGCCACAGATGGAAACTTCTTGTTGTTCCCTGATAAATTCACTTTGTAAGTCATCCTTAAGTACCACTTACTTGTTAGATCAGTAGTGTATTAGGCATCAATATTATAGGCCTGTTAAACTAAGCAGTTTTGGTTGCTACTTGATTGTCTCTGAGCCAAGCTTTGTTGTGCTGTTGTCACAGTGGAACAAGTTGCTCAAACACTGCCCATCATAAACCCCCCTTCAAATATAACATGTGCAATTCATACTGCTGCAACTAGAACATTCACTCCAGGATATGCCTAATACTTTTTTCCTTTTAACATGAAACTCACAAAACCGTGAACACCATACTGTCTATTGAGAAAGCTGCTAAACACTGATTGCTGACAATGATGCAAGTTTGCTGATATTTCATTGTATTCTGGACAGTTAGCTTCAGGATACTGCTTTAGATGGGCTAAGTGAAGCTGAGTCTTGAAATCAGATATTGAAAAAGTAATATCTTGCAAGACGCTTTCAAACATGTTGTCAAACAGCTGATGTATGTAAAAAAATATTTCGAGTTACGGCTGGCAGTATTCACTCTTTTCGGATTCTTAGTAAAGAAACGCTTCGGATCATGTGTCCAAAGTACAGGTATTCACCTCTGTTGTAGATCATTTGGATCAATAATCTGTTTGGATTAAAAATCCGGATTTGGATTTGAGGGTCATCCCCAGTGTGATATAATTTATTTGTTTTCTTTGTTTTATGGACTATTGTCAGGGTAAGGTTCATTGTTAAGGATGTTTTGTTTTATTTGTTTTTAGTCAGCTGTGAATAATAAATTATATTACACCGGAGATGAGCTGGAGTTTAGTAAAGAAACGTGTAATGTTCTTTTTATTATATGGAGAAACCAATTCAACAAAAGCAAAAGGCGGGAATCGTGACGTCATCGAACGATATGACACTCACAAAGGTGACATACGGAAAATACGCCACTCGGGTCCCGGATGAAGTGGCATATGGAATCTACGAGTGGTTTAGTTCCCAGTAAAACACTCTCCTCCATATAATAATAAATTATATTACACCGGAGATGAGCTGGAGTTTAGTAAAGAAACACACCCTTAGCTTACAATGCACTTCACACCAATTTGGCGACCTGTCTGGCTGTCCGCGTATATGCCACTGAGTCTATAATACTTACATGTGTTATTCTGTTGTAATTTCCTTTAGAAGTATAAGTAAACAGTCCATTGACTCTTTTGTCATTTCTTTATTTCAACAGGAAGGATATCAAACCAGATTTTAATGTCACAATCAAGGTTTTCTGCATGGTGAGCTTCTTATGATGGTTGTTCTTGTAGACCATTAAATTACAGTTTGTTAAGAGGGGTAAACCATTCTGTCTTGTGAGTAAGCAAGTTTTGTGGAACGCTAACTTCTTTACTCTCTGCTCATGTGCCCTTTCTGCTGGCTCAGTGTAGAAATTTGTTGCGTTAACTTTTGCTTTCTATTATTTGTAGAACGTAAAAAAGGCCATTGTCAGTGCTCCAACCACCCCATCTAAGACCAAGCTCTTTCAGTCACCAAAAGTTGTGAAAGGAATGTTTACTGGGGTGAGGATCCACTGATACTTGATTATGGCTTCTTCTGAACATTTTGCATGTTCAATGGATCAAGATTAATATTAAAAAAATAATTTTACTTTCTCTCTTATGTCTTCTCTACAGCGTCGCACATCAGATATCCCTCCAGGTGGGTGGAAAATGTTTTCACTTGAGGCCTGCAGTTCAAATGCATTAGGACTCCATGCACAACTTATATAATGTTAACTTATTGGCCTTACTTTTCATTTCAATAGTATGCCTGTAATAAGCTTAAATAACTTAATATGTATGTCGTCTTGATATCCATACTTGAAATTTAAACTCTGGTATTCTTATAGCAACCCAGGTTTTGCCATCACCACAGACAGTATTCAGAACCAGCAGCTTCTCTCTTGTTGGAGTAACACATGTTAATCTTCCTATTATCAAGTCCAAGAGATTCTCTCTTGATAAGGTATATAATTATGTTCTTGAAAATAACATTTAGAATAATTTTTTTACAAATAATTACATTTTGTCTATTTTAAATGCAAGAAGACAATTTGCAGTACACTCTCTGAGAAATGTCAAGGAAAAGATCAGGCATCATCTCCTGTACTATTATTTTAATATTAATTAGAAAAATAACATGGCTAAAGCTTTGTCAATTTTATGGTATGTACCATCATACATGATCCAGAGAGTCTATTAGGCCCAGTCCAATTAAGTTGAACTTCATGTGTGCCAAATTTAATCCTATTCCTCGCTAAAACAATTTGTTATCTTTTTACAATTAATGAATTATATTAGGCACATGTGAAATGCGACATCTGAGTCAAATGTGAAACCTGAGTTAAATCGCCAAATGTTTCAGTCGCAGATTTAGGAGACTTTACCTAGAATGTATAACAAAAATATATTCGCACGGCCAACAGCATTTACCTCCTTGGTAATCTCCTCCCAGACTTGACTTTTTTTTTTGTTGGTTATATTATTCGTCAGCTTTGACAGGATCACATCAATATTTTTTTTTACACTTTCTGTAGTTACGGAAATCTCAAGCGGTGAGAAATTTGGTTTTCTTTTTCTTTCCTTTACTTTAAGTTCTTTCACCTCACTTTCCGCCATTTTGTTTTCTTCACCAGCCCCGCAATCCGCACCAATTTTTCGCGCCATATTTTTTTAGAGGCAGGCGGTCAAAAAACTTGTTAAACCGGTTTTCATTTAGCACTAATCTGGGATTAGTTAATCGTGGGATAATTTCGCTTTCAGGAACTCCTTTTTAACCCACGATTAGTTATCCGAGGAATAAGAAATTTAATTGTGGATTTGACGCTAATCGGAGGATAGATTAATCTGCTTTCCAGGAACCCAGGCCTGGAGAAGAGCTTCTATTAAAACAACATACTTCATATTATCTTCACTTTGTTTTCAATAATATATATTGAAATTGCATGTTATTATTGACATGTCATCTTCAGGTGCCTGATAGTTGCCCCTTGAGTACCTACTTAGAAATGAAAGCTGAATGCATCCCGCTGTGCAGCAGCCACGTCAAAGGATTCTTGGTAAGTGTTATAATCCTAGACACTCTTGGTCTCTAGAAAGGCTGTTTTTGAATTACAAAGAACACGCTGACTTGTTTAAGTTATGTAGCCAAAACACACACTATACTTTATTTCATGCACATCATTTTGCCATCTCCACCCGCAAATAGCAAAAGCTAGACGAGGCGGGCGGAGAGGAAAGGTTACAGCAGTCATAACAGATAATATAACAATTGTAAAGTAACTAAATAAACTATGTGGATAAATAAGAATTACTGAAAAACAGCCTTTTGTTGGTAATGTTTTCTGTCTGGGAAGTTGTCATTATTTTTTCTATTAATTTGTAGACAATCCTGGAGGACATCGGTGGTTATGGTGCATGGCAGAGGCGATGGTGTGTGTTGGAAGGTGCTGTCATGTCCTACTGGAGATACCCAGGAGATGAGTCTATCAAGGTACACAGTCATATACAGTGGCATCCAGATGATTTTGATACCCTGTAATATTGCAAAGAAAGTTTTAACCACATGGCTTTTGAGTGAAATCTTTGTAACTCATAATGATATGTGACCTCATCAGTTTTTGAAAAGGGGATTAAGGTCAAGAGCATTTTCTTACGTTTTTATATTCAATGTGTTTAAACAGTGTTTAGACATGTATTATTACAATTATAATTATTATTATTGTTGTTGTTGTTGTTGTTGTTATTGTTCTTTTTGTGGCTCTTGTTATTTTTATTATATTATTAGTAAAAAAGCAACCAATCCTTGGAGCAATGCAACAATAGGCAAATAAGAAATGGTCAGTTTCTTTGCTGGTTTTTAGCTACAAGAAGCAAATTGAAACATCAAGTTGTTGAATTTTAGAATAGTATAACAATATTTGTTCATTAATTTCACTACCATCTGCTTCCTTTACAAGCCACCCCTTGGGAGTATTGACTTATCAGAATGTATCAGTGAGGAAGTGACCAGAGTCGCAAGGGACCTGTGTGCACGACCAAACACCATGGAACTAAAACTAAAAAGGGCATGCGGCACAGAAGTTAAGTAAGTAATGAATTTCTCTCAGCCATGTGTTTTGATAATTGTGCTTAGCAGTTGAATAATATATGGTTAGAACTAGGATCTATTACTGCGCTTTTCAAAAACACACGAACTCCAAGTTCATAAGCCACCTTCATGCGTTTTTTGCGGTAGTCAATCATAATAAAAATATTATTATTACTATTATTATTATTATTATTATTATTATTATTAATTACAGTCACAAACAACAAACCTTGAAACACAGGTCACCACAAAAACGGACCGAAATTCACCAATCACAAACCATGACCTTTAGCCCCCTTTGAAGTTAAATTCCTTTTTTTAAGAGGTCTGCTAAGATGGTTGATGGCAGTGAAAAACATAAACATCAGAATTCTTGTGTTTTCGAAAAGAGCAGTAACAAAGTGGTTGAAACTACAGTGGAGGTTCACTGTATAGTAGGCGCGATTACCAGCTGTTTTGTACACCCACCTTCCTTCATACTCATCATAGCTGGATCACAGGTCTTAAAACCAGACTACCTTAAATGACAGGATAATTTAGCCTAACTGTACAAGTGTCTAGGCATTTTTATGTACAAAAAAGTTTCCACTTAACTATTGGTAATGTTTACCATGTCAGGTACCTTCTGGCTGCTGATACAAAGACAGATCGTGCAACATGGATTGACAGTCTTAATGAAGCTCTCAGAGATGGACGTGCATGGACGATGACAGAGAACAGACCTCTTTACCCTGATTTGAGCAGACTGCATAACCAAGATGTGTATATGTGTTCCAAGGATACTGAATAGCTGGCTCATTGGATAGCTATATTTTCCTTCTCACAGCAGCATCTGAGTGAAAGTCTCCAAATTGCATTATGTCCTAAATAAAACAGATTGAACCTTTAAGAAGTTCTTAATTCAGCTGGTATTGACTGAAAGGTCAAAAGATAACACATATTTTAAATTAAATATATAGAATGTAAATTTAATGAACAATGATCCTCACCTATAGAAAGGCAAAAAGGGTGTGCTTAAAGTATAGCTACATTGCTTCACTAACAGTAAGCATCGCTGTTTTATGGGGCTGTCATTAAAGGCCAGGAATTTCCCCCAGCTGGTATGAGCACAACCTCCTGCTATTTTCACAGGAAACAAAAGGAAAATATGACCAAAAGAACACCTAGATTTTCAATCCCCCAAATATATACCCAGCATCAAAAAATCTTAGTGATAGCCCTGCTGCACTGAGACATATGAAATTAAGGATATCATTACCTGCAGAGCTCTGACTTGATACATAAACCAAAAACAAGATCAAAGGTTAAGTCAATGACTTGTGCTACATAACAACCTATAACAGTCATGTCTGCTAAGTCATTTCAACTCTAATCATAGCTTACAATAAGTACGATGGAGTACAATTTTACACAATAATGCACCGTATAATCCAAGTGGACAATTTTAACAATAGTCTGTGTAAAATCCATGGGAAATAGCCTTTGTCGTGAATTTCCAGGGTGAAAAGCTCAGGAAAATAACTTAAGATAGTTTCTGATGGAAAACAGGATCATTTTAAAGAAGAAAAGACACAGAAGAGTTGGCATTGAGTCAGCTAATGGAGAAAAGGAGAGATAATTAAGTTACTGTAAGGCAATTAACTTAAGTGTAAAATTAAGACAAACCCAGGTTTGGCTGGAAAGAATGAGTGTAATCCACTGGGTGACAGCCAAAAATTTTGTGCAGCCTTAAATGGTAAACAAAGCTTCGTGTAAACTACAGCTTGCTGTACAACAGAATTTCAAGCACTTTTGTTTTTTTGTGGGGGGAGGGGGTGGTGGGAAGTTGGATCCAACCCAGGTTTTGTTGATGCCTTCCATAATGTTGTGTTCTAACAACTTTGTCCTAGTTTTAATGAAATTTAAAAGTTCTTGCCTTGGTGACAATTAAAGCATTAAAGCTAAAGATTTACTGAGTATGGTTAACAAGCAATTTTTATAAATAAATGACATTATTGGTTGTCTTAATAAAGTTAGTGCTTGGTACAAAGTGCTTTTGCATTGAGTGTACATTTTGAATCTTTTGGAATAGGGTACGATAGTTAAGACTTCCTCTGAGACTTTCCCTTAATGTCAGAGCAATGAGCTACATTGAAGATTTTCTAAAGTGGCCCACACAAAACAGTAACATTTTTGAAGACACATTGCAATATGGCACAATTGAGGTTCAAAGATTTTTTCCTTTCCTCACATTGTTGCCTAATTTCTTTTACAATGCTTGATTTAGTCTAGCTGCTGGTTGCACTTTCCATTGTATTCTTTAAAATTCCCAAGCACTTATGCACAGCAAATGAACAATACACAAAGAAGTTTTAATTATTTCTGGTCTTATAAAATCTATTCCATGACTTAACCTAGCAATAACTCGGGTTTCATGTGTTTCACAGTAAAACAACATATTGAACTAAATCTAACCAATCACAGAACTTTTTTTTTTCAAACATACTTCTGTCGTACCTCTCCACAACAGCCATCTTGATGAGAGAGATAAATGGCCATCAAAGAGGCATTCATTAACCCTTTAAGCCCCAATATCCACATACAAATTCTCCAAACTGGTCTTTTATACATTTCCTTAAGGAATAAGTTGAGAGAATTTGGTAGAAGATCAAAGCATTTTCTCTTAGGTGATCATTTTATTAACTCTCATAACCATTTCTCTTGGTAACATATGGATATTGTTAGGAGAAAATTGATCTTGGTAACTATCGGGACTTAAAGGGTTAACAGGAGGTAGGGGTATAATGGCGTACACAATGTTGAGTGTAGGGGGGGGGGTTAGAACAATCAAACTGTTTTAAAAAAAGCCTTTTATGAGCAAGTAACACAAGATCAATGAAACAGTAAGGTACAAAGTCAGTTTATTCACAGTTAACTTTTAAAAATTGCTGCTGTGAAGTGGTCAATTTTGGTGCCTCTATTGGCCACTGAGGACAAGTCACCACTAGTAAAAAGAAGAGTGAATAATATAGACTGTTCTATGTGGTGTAGAGATGAGGCCATTTGTAAAGGTAACATTGCATTTTTACAGTCAGTTTCATAAGCTTCCCACGCTTTTGTAAACTGAATATATTATAACCACATAATTTAGTATTTTCCTCGCAATAATAGTAATTAATTAAAGTTGTATTCTGGCATTAACCATGAAATTTGATATTAGACTAGTAATTCTTAGAGAATTATTTAAAATTTTAAACACACGCTTTTTACCAGAATATTGGCCAAGGTCATTTTACACAAAAAATTATTTGAACCAGTAAGTAGGAAACAGAATGTATATATTAATCCTGATCTGTTTCTGTAAACAATAAATAATTTTCCTTAGCCTTTCAGTTAAAGTTTACTATTTAAATCGTTTTCTTTTACGCTTGTATCTATTACTTTAAATTTATTCACAGCTGTGTTCAGACAAACTGAATAATATAAACAGCACAACGTTAAGTACCAATTTATAATATTTTTTAGGTGAATGAGCTACCTATTGCAGCAAGACATTTTAAACTGCTCTATTTGAAACAAAATTATAAATAAAATGGTACTTTTCTTCCTTCAGTATTTTTTACGTTTTTGGAGGGAGTATACACACACCCTGCATCTGAACATCTGAAAAATAAATGGTTTCCTTGACGACTACAATATCCATACTGGAAAACTTTAATATTGCATTCCCCACACTTCCTGTCATCCTGGCACCTCGTAAATGTAACAGCGGCATCAAAAGTACTGTTAATAGTTTCTCTTTCCAATATTATTTTTCTTTTTGTGAGGATGTCTGACCCCATGCAATAATTGCTCCCCTCAACTCCCTTGCATTTGAACTCATGTCGGCTATATGCCTCCTCACGGATGATTTATAAATTTACTTCCAATTCCATGGGATACTTATGTGTCCATCCTCATTAACATGATAATACCTGGACACAGTAAGATTAGCTCCACTAAGATCAGGGTTATCTTGCCTGCTTAGCCGCTCACAGCAGTCACTCATTTGAAGTGGAGATACTGAAGGATCTTTTAACAGACACTCCAGCTGTAATTTCTCTTGGCACTCTTTTATTGCTTTATCTTGTATCACAAGATTCCTGGGATAAATGAAGGAATATGCACAGAGTTAGGTTACAAAAACCACATACAGTTTATATAATAACAACTAAAACAAGCCAAAAAGTGGTTAATCAAAATGTCTATGAATAACCTAAATAATGTGGAAGAGTATGCAGAGTCCCTGTTAGAGTAAAATTGCGCCAGATGACATGGCCTTGAAACAGCAAGATACATGTACATGGGTTACAGTGCGACCAGGAAAACCTTGAATACTTGAAATGTTTAGGAATAGGAATGTTTATTGTGTTATGACCAATCACAGCAAAGATGAGAACAAACGAACTTGCACACAAAACCATAATTTAATAATTAACATTCTTGCTTACAGTTTAGATTTCTCATCATAGTGGGAGATTGGCTTTTTTCCTTGCAACACAATAACATTCAAGAGAAATTTCTGGTGTTCACGGTTTGACTGTTGATACCCAGAGGGACAAGGTCCACTCTTGAAAATGTGAAACAACCATACTTGAAATTCAGGCTAGAGACATACGTACCACCCCGCCCCCGCGCCCCACCCCACCGCGCATCCGCCCCCCCACCCCCCCAACGCAATGGCGCGCGCAGGACAACCCTCACTGTC